TTCTTCCACGTAACAATCTCCTTTTCCCGGTCAATGACCAGCCCCTCGTAATGTTCAATCATGTCATTAAGCTCGCCGTTAGCCTGGCATGATGCATAAAACCAGGATGGCCAGTCAGTTCGAAGAATGGCAGCACAGTCAGAAAAATAAAGCGGAACTAACCCGAGATGAATGATGAGCGTGAAGCAAGTAGCATTCACGAATCGCAGGGCGCCACTTGTCGAAATCTGGCAAGATCGCATCCGATCGGGTCTTGAAGCATCGGAAAACGCTGCCTTCTTTCTCCATAGCTACGAAGGAAGAAGTGTTGTAGAAATTGGAATCTGGACAAAGATAAAAACTTTTAATTGAATATAAATCACCAAACCTGAAAGCGATTTGACTTGGGGGACAAGAGCAGGCTTCAACTTCGAGGAAGCATCTCGAAACTCAGAATCTCCCTTTTTAGGAGATGCGCTCCGGGCAGTCTTCTCGCTATCAGGCTGGGAAGAGGAAGACATATCAACAGGTCGGGGAGGACCCCTTGGTTCAGTAGGAGGGGACGATCGAGGTGAACGGTCAGTCCGGGCCCTTGATTTCTCCCTTCGCGGAGAAGAGTCACTACGAGATGACTTGTCTCTCTTCCTGCGAACCAAGTTCTTAAGTGGTTCATTGCTAAAATCATCTCGGGGAGGACGAGGAGAATCACGACGTTCGCGACGAGGTGTTAACCTATAAGCAGCAACGGATCTGGCTCCCTCGGTGCTGTTGTCATCAACCAGCAGGGTCCTGCTGTAGTCTTTTTTGTCAATGGCGGCCGCAAGGAACGCCTTGTTTTCATCGTAAGCCTCTGCTATCGGCTTGGAGAGTTTCTTACGCTGGGCAGTGAGGGCCCGAGATGACATTCCCTGAGTTGAGGGAGGAGGCGGAAGACGATGAAGTAGATTGGGGGGACTCATCCTGAGTTTTCGGTTGGCTTCGAAGAACTGATCGAGGGTGAAAGAATTCCAAAGGGTTTCCCTTTCAAGGATTGTTTTGAAGAACTTGACGAATTCTTCAGTCGGAAGAGTCGAAGCGATGAAAGCTGCGAAGTGAAACAACGAGTTTGATCAGTAAAAAATAAAACAACCAGGAAAGGAATATACAACCTAATTTCTACCAGGCTTCGCAGACCACTTCGATGGGAGTACATCAGAAAGATTTCCAATTGAAGCAGGAGTTTTCTTAATCAGGAACCAAGGATGGTGCCAGTTTTCATCTTTGTTCGGGAGGTGCGAAATGACGTTCCTGTTGGCATTTGGATACGCCGAGAAGTACCCAGTTTTCTTTGATGAACTCCTTACGCTTAGGAGTTCATTCAGCTCTGGGACTCCAATAACGTAGCCAGCCTCTGCCGCAACGGTTATGATCCCGAGGATGGTTCGGAGGAGATTGGGGGTTAGTTGAGGTAAAGCAATCTCAAGAGCCGCCAGGTATCGAACTAAGGCTTCGGGAAGGGGGAAGGTCAATCCGCAGCCCTTGAAGTAGATTTCATAAACACAAAAGTAGCCGTCGCGGTGGTTCTCCGGGGATTCCGTAGGGTCGGCTATCTGCGCTTCTGCTATGATTCCAGGAGGAATCTGACAAAGCCCCTTTAATCGCTCGAGGGATTGAAGAGTACAGGTGGATTTGTAATGCGGATCGGCAATGTCGTTAGGACGAGTGCATTCGTCGTTGCTAGAACGTCTCTCGTCGTAAGACGGAGATTCAGGTCTCTCAGAATCGGAAGTCATCAGAGAAAAATGAAAAATTCAATATCCGGCGAAGAGGGGTTCGGCGAAGAAAAGTAGAGAGATGTTTTGATTAAAGCACAAAAGTAAAAGTAGAAAATGATGATGAAAAGAAGTTACCTTACACAAGCTAAATGATGGAACCGCCTCGGAAGTTGTGTGGGAAGTGGGAAGGTTTTTCCCGTTTTAATAGTAATTAATTAATATACGGTCATAATGATGACAGATGTCACTCGGTTAAAAATGGCTAGTGCCGAAATTAAAGGAGTGATGAGATTTTTGGCGGGAAATCAGAAAGATTCTCGAACGCAATCTTTGGTCATTTCAGCATTAAAATCTTCCGAATTGAGGTAGCACTTCGGAAGACTTGGGGGGCTAATTGTTGGTGTCGGATCCCGCACCAGAGGTCCAGGACCAACCAAAGATTGCCACGTAGTCAGGGTAACGGCCCATAAGCGGTAAAGCCCATTAGACCCACAAGTCAAAAGAACAGTCGAAGTGGTTATCACCATAAGGAGAATCCGAAGTGACTGCACCTCGACACGAGTCCGGAGACGAAGTCGTGGTTAAGTCGGTTCAAGGACATTTGGGCCAAAAGGCGAGGCCCATGAAGATCAATTCGAACGTTAAGCATTAAAATCAAAGATCAAAACGGACACATTTAAGAGAGAATAATTGTACTTAATTAGCCACTTAAATGTCGTTTTTCTATGTATAAATATAAAGGCCAATGATCATGTAAAGGGGATCTTCCTCTCGAGTAAGAAATACTATAGCAATTCATAAGCTTTTTACATATTTATTTTTGTCCCTCAAAAGTAATCTTTCCTACTTAATAAAAATACTTGAATGTGAGAATCCGACATCCACACTTATATACGAGTAGAAAGTTTTCCAATCTTTATAGATTTAACTGATTTTAGTATGAATGTTAAAAAATAAATGTACATATAATTATATTTTAATTGAGAAATACTTATGGAATTGTTGAATTCATAATTTGTGTTTACTAATCGATGACCCCTATGATGTATATCATCAAATTTAGAGAAAATTAATTTGCATCAAATCCAAATATTCTTCAAATAAAGATGTTGTGGTATGGTTACATGAAAAATATACCGTACGGGTTATACCTATACGGCTTTTTCTATGAAAATTCGATTCCAGCAAATTGTATTTCTTCACGTAGTATGAATTAGGTTATGGATAAGGCTATCCAAAAATGTAAAAAATATACATTTAAGCGAGCACATTATCACCACTAATATAAATACAAGTACATGGTGGCCTTGTAAAATCAACTAAATAGAAAGCAATACAATGATGTGTTATGGTCTCTTTCTTATCATACAAAAGAGTTAGTTTATCTTATCTTTTTTTATTGTTTCATTTTCACCTTAATCACAAGAAAGAAAATCATTGAGTTTTCCCAACAATATTTATCATCATATTAACACCATCAATCACTTCATACTAGATCCAAAAGAGTACAATATTTTCAAATCTTCTAAGAAATCTACTATCTTTTTTTTTTTGATGTCAAAGTAAATCTACTATCTTAGCATCACGAAATAGAGTTAGAAATGATAAAACTACATAAGAATAAAAACATGAAATAAGCACTAAAATTTAAAGATGACACGCATCAAAACAAACTCACCTATAGCTAAGGGTGTCAAGTTGGTTAAACCAAACCAAACCAATCCATATCCATATGAGTTTAGTATCTAATGGATGATGAGTCAATCCAAACCATTTGCTAAATGGTTTGGATGAAACCATAACTCATTTAAATTATTGGATTAATGGATAAACTCATTTAATCCATTTAATAAATTTTCCATGATCTAAATAATTATCATACTACAATCATCATCATCATACTACTATAATCATTCATGATCATAATCATCATCATACTATTATCATCTCATCATCATCATCATCATCATCATCATCACCAGCTTAAAAATAAGAAACAGACATCAAGTTCTTGAATTCAAAACACAACAACTTAAGCTGCATAAACTCAGTGAAACACAAAAGATTTGTCCAAACATGGAAAAGGAAACGTGTGATCGATTCGATCAATGTATAAGAGAGACACTGGAACTTTCACTCGAATCCTAACAAACAAACTCTTAAATTGGTGAAACTCAATGGACAAGGACAAACATATAAGGCAAGATATAAACGAACAGAGCACTAATTAATGAAATAGATGTTTTTCCACGATCAGCAAGCTAGAAGGCTCATGTTAAAGTGACCAGTATATATGTACATAATATATATAAAAAAAACACTTGCACAAGAAGGGTTAGACAATGCAATCAACGATAGTTTAAATCAAACAAAACACTTACTCTCTGATTTTGCTTGCACGAATGAAACAATAGAAATTGATCCATCAAGCATATATTATTATAATAAGACATCATTCTCATCACAAAGTACCTTCCGGAACCTTAAGTTCGACGGTGGTGGTAGTGAAATCGAAATCGGATTCCTTAGGGAAACCACTCACGTAGTCTTTCAATGTTGGTGGTGGTGGCGCTTGCCTTTGAGAGCCTTTCCGATGGTTCACTTCGTCGGCCGGAGACTTGATCGGTAAGAGAGAAGAACGAGACCCTTATCAAAGCTTCGAAAAACCCTTTGGCGAATAGAGATAGCGAGAGATTGATGGTGGTGAGAGATCGATGGTGGTGAGAGATTGATGGTGGTGAGAGTTGTGAGGCTGAGGAAGAGAGATCGATGATGGTGAGAAACCGGTTTAGTAAACCGGTTTAGACATTTTATTCGGTTATATTCGGTTTACATATTTGATTTAGAATATTTAATTTCTACTGGTTTGGTTATGAGTAATCCACTAATCCACAATAATCCAAACCATTTCAATCCAATTCATTAAACTCATTAATCCATTTAATCCATTAATCCATTAAGATCCAAATTTCTCATTCATTAGATCCACGGATTGGATTGGTTTGGATTGATCCATTAATTTCAATCCATTTTGACACCTCTACCTATAGCATACAAAAACAAAACAAAACGACAAAAGTAAAATTCGATAATATTGTAAACATTTATCCCCAAAAAATGGGTAAAAAAGTTTACACAAGTAATGAATATAAGGATACACGTGGCGATTATCAAGCAAAAGAAATCAAAATCAATCGTCCTCGCGTAGTACACTTGTAGGTCCCACCTATCTTCTATAAACATTTTATAAAACTTTTTACTTTTTTCTCTGCGAATCCAAAAACAAAAAAAAACTTCTTCTTCTTCTTTTCGCCATTAACACCTGAAAGAAATGAGATAAGAGAGAACAAAACCAAAAATAATGGTGGGACTAAGTATTGTTTTGGAGATGACTAACAACAACAACAACACTCTCAACAGTGACGGTGGCTTAATTATTAGTCCTAAAGTCGTCAACAAAGCCAACGTTATCGTCACCACCACCGTGACGACGGACACGACTAATCTCCGTCGTTGTTATCAAGATTCTGGATTTCTCGAACATTGTTTTCTCTGTAGAAGAAAACTTCTTCCTGCGAAAGATATCTACATGTATAAGTAAGTCATCATCAATAATGGGCTTTTTTTTGTTTGTTCTTGATTTTGTTTTTTTTTCATGAGATCTTTTTTTTTGTTTTTGAATTTTGGTTAGAGGTGATAGAGCGTTTTGTAGCGTGGAGTGTAGATCGAAGCAGATGATTATGGACGAAGAAGAAAGTTTGAGAAGAGAGTATTGTTCGTTAATGGATGTTAAGAAGAAGAAATCTGAATCTCCGGCGACGGCGCCGTCGCGTTACCGCCGAGATCCGAGAAACCTAGCAGGCGGTTTCGCTTACTGAAGCAGAGAGAATCGCAAAGACTGAAAAAGTTGTGTGGTTTTGACTTTTTTACCCTTAGGCTAAGTTTTGTCGTTTTGTTTAATAACGTGTAAAGCCGAGAGGGTGTTTTGGGTATTTCAGAGCTTTTTTTGCATATCTATGGGAGCCCCTAGTAAAATATTTTAATTAAGTTTAGTATTTAACTATTTATTTTATCTGATTGAGACCTTTCTGAGTTCATTAAGTTTAATGTTGATGGAACTAACTTAGATTAGAGTTTTATTTAGTTCGTTTATAATTATAATAGTCTGGCCACCATGCAACTTTATTTTAAAAAATTAGAAATTGTAAGAAGATGAGAAACGAAAGGGATTTTGTGATCTTAAATAAGTGATTAGTGATAGACTACGTTGATCTAATCCACAAACCGACAAACAAAAGGGACACGTAATAAGTACTATATGTTTTTCTTTTATTATATAGTATAAATAAAGATATTCTCTTGATTTCATGCGAATTTTAGCTTCAATGTGTGGGAGAATCTTTAAGCTTTAACCGACATAAGTTTGTGTATATTTATATTCACATATAGATCAACGTATACGAATTTATTTTTAGGATTTCAACGAAACTCTAAACATTTACCAACTTACATACTTTTTCTTTAGTTTAAAGTTGACTACAAAACAAATGTATGCACATCACTAGACAAGAAGAAATGGATTATATCGAACCTTTTTTAGATCATTTACTTTGTTTTATTCATAAAGGAAAAGCATCATTTCGTAATTCGTATAGTGTCCAAGAAAACTAATTCAGTACTACAAAAACATGTCATTAACATGTTATATTCAGTCAACAAAAATATCTTAGATGTTTTTTCCCATACTGATGAAAAAAAGGATTTATGGTTCTCGTGTCAGAAAGTACGTTTCTAAGTGACAATCACCAAAAGTTTATACGTATCAAAATGGTAAGGATCATAAACGATCACTGAAATTCAAATATCATTCGGTAAAGAAAAAATTTTCAATGATGAATATTCATTTATATTAACCTAAAGAAAACGGTAAGAAATGTTGGCAAAACAATCCTATAAATTTGTGCAATCTTTGATGTAACTAAAGTCATGAAAAAGAGATGACACAACTCGAAAGAAAATATATATAATTTCGGTATATAAAAATATAAATTTGTGGGTGATTGTAATTGCGGTTGCACTTGTTTAATTCTTATGTGAAAATATAATTTCACACGATATAAATAATACTAGTAAATAAATGTTAATATCCCAAACAATTACTTACAAAGTCGTATAAACGATTTAGTAATGATATCCATTTCTGCAAATTTTTTAACTTTCATCTAATGTGTTTTTAAACTTGTCCAATCCCTAATGGAAATATCAGAAGATTTTTTTTTTCAAAAAAATGAAGCAAGAGATCATTCAAGTGGGTTGAGACTAGTAGAGTTTTTTTCATGTACAATTTGAACGTTTAGGTCGAAATCAAGACAAATCTTTTATAATTTTGCCATATAATTTTCAGATTAATAAAATAAATTTCATGCAGCAAAAATAAATTTTTGGTGTTGACCAACACGATGGCGATCGTTAAGAGTATTTATCAATTGGTCAAAACTCACAAGATTCTTAGTTTTCTTAGGTTTTGGAATAATGTGGGGCAAATATATTTTGGCATTTTACTTTGTCTTTATGTAAATAATATATACAGTATGTCCCATGAAATGTAATTGATTAGTGCTCCACATTCATTGGATTCGACTGTAAAAGACACTGAGGTCCCTTACCTATATGTCTCTTTCTCACTTTCTGTTGATTCCGAAAATCACACAATAAATTTGTTTAAAGGAGGAAAACAAATTCAATTAACTCTCTCTTGCTATTTGTGATCAAAGACTCGAATAAAATGGTGAATTTGATTGCTGAGAGACAACGTTAAGGTTTAACTCAAAAACAATCGAGAAAACTAGGGTTTTTTGTATAAAGTTACGGATCCCCTGAATAGAGGACAAACCCCTCTATTTATACATGATTAAGGCGGTTTTAGGATTTGTTAATCTTCTAAATCTTCGGAGCTTATCTTCTGCTTTTCCTTTCTTTTCGCGATTCTCGTTTTTTTCTTAAGGAAAATCTTCTTTTTTCTTGAACGAGAAGTCGGTTTAGGCGATCTCTTGTCTTCGGGTCTAGCTCGCCAGGCGACCTCCTTTCCCTGGCCCATTAACAGGCCTAACCAGGATTCTCTGGTTTAACTGAATTCTCAGATTTATTCGTAATTTGTCCGGTTTAAGCTGGTATTGTCGGAGGTGCTAATTCCTGCACCAACATGTATTAATTGTTATACTGGTGGGGTTTAATAATTTTGTGATCAATTCCTTAATTTAATGCAAAAGATTAGAGAATCTGGTTTTAAGTTGAACAAATCAATGCTCTTTAAATTAATGCAATAGGCACTGCTCTCACATAACACCTGCTCATTCATTAAAAATGGCTCTTAGTTATTACATGCCTGACTAATTAAATTATACAGCCTGTAAAAAAGCTGATGAACTCATAGATACGTCAGATATGTAATTTAATTCCAAATATATTACTCCCTCTCTTTCACAAAGAGTGTCATTTTAGAGTTTTGCACACAGATTAAGAAAACATTAAATTTTTTGTTTTTTCTAAACAAAAACATCATTAACTATATACCTAAACATAATCTGCCAAATAGTAAAACAATCTGTAGAATACTAATAGTCATAAAACATAAAAAATCATTAAATTTTGCATTGAAAACCTAAAACGACACTCTTTGTGAAACAAAAATAAAACCTTAAAACGACACTCTTTATGAAACGGAGGGAGTATTAAAAATGTTTAGCTTAGGAAATTGTGATTTTCGTAATCAATTATATAACCTACTAGGCTTAGATATTAGGGTTAATGGAATCCCAGCTATGCATTTACAAACATAAAACTTCTGGATAAGGTTTACGATATTTTTAGTGAAAGTGATTTTTGAAGACATTAATTAATAATGAAGGTCAGGTCACATGTTCCCTTATTAACCATCATTCTTAATGCAAAATCCACCTTTTTCCAGAGGCACAACACAGCTTAAATACTCAAAAGGTTAGTGGATGTAGCATAGAGTCTACAACAATAACTAAAAAAAAAGAAATTGTTATTATGCAGATAGTTACATTTAATTTGGGTCATAGTTAAATTAAGTAAATAATTTTGATGGGAAAATGATAAAATGATGGGAAACGGGATTTTTGCGTAGGTTGACGAAAAGATTCTAATGCATTTTTTTCAAGAGAAATTGGCAGCTATAACATACAAAAAAACTTTAAATAAGTAAATGACCAAAACAAAAAAAAGCCCATTGATTTTGTCTGTATTTTTTTGTATATCTGACCTTTTTAGCCTCCTGTGAAGTTCACACACCTTGACGTGATTCTTCTTTCTTTTGCGTAATTTCTCATGTTTTTTTGGTACTTGTAAAAACCTTATTTTCACCATAATTACTATTTTCTGCAGAGAGATCAAAATTTTAAAACTTTTTTGCAATTTTTCATCTTTGCCGACAAAATTTCCGACGAACAAAACAAGGTTAGCCTCCGATCTCTTTTCCTAATTTTGGTTATTCGGTGACTGACCTTCAATTGATTTTCGGGGGGAAAGACTTTGAATTTAGGATGTAGTTTTAATTACCCGGCAAGTTCGAAACCCCAATTGCCCTACCCTGAGTTCTCTGACTATGTTTTATGGTTATACGATTGACTACCTGATGCAGCGTGATATTTGGATTATTCCAAATATCTTCTATGATTATCTTCTATTTATTTATTATTTTTATTTTAATTAGTTTAGATAATTATTAGATTATTTTAGCGTTTATCTAGGGTTTTGGGTTTTATTATAAATAGCCACTTAGGCTTATTGTATTATGGAAAAGTTATTGATGAATTGAATAATCGAAAGATTTAAAGAGGTTTTTATAAACCACTGTGAAGAGTATTCACAACCCTAAGAGCTTTTGCGAAAGCCCTGAGAGGAGGACTCTCAAACCCTAGTTTCCAGGTATTATCAGAATCAACGGATCTAGTTCTATCCCTAGAAGCTTCCGCTCCATCACTACCGTACATCGCCGGCAGTGTGTTTAGCAAATTCGGTGAACTGGTTTATTAATTTGGGGGTGATTAATTTCTCTCAAATTGAGTTTAGTTTGTCTACTTTATCTTTTTTTTTTTTATCATAGAATTGAATCCTTTGTTTAAAACTTGGAATTCTTGTTTGGCGACATATGTTTTTCCTTTTATTTGTGTTGTCGAGGTTAAGAGAACATGTGTTTTATAAATAGAAAGTTGCTTTCAGTTTGGGAATTATTGAGATTTTATGTGGAAAGTCTTACATAGGAACTGTCTGTTTGGATGTCTTATGCTCAGACCCTTTTTATGTTCTACCATCTTTGTAGAGAACAAACAATGTACTATTTTTAAATAACCAATCTTTTAAGTCAAGCTAAACTGTACTATCTAAGTTAAGTCTATTCTATTGTTTGTATGCAGTCTACTTTTGAAAGCATTTCACTATTAATTTTTACATGTTTGGAGTACGTAATAAAGTTTTTACTTTTGTATTGCAAGAACACCCTCAATGGGGGAAGTTGGCTTGCCGCAGCGTATGTTCCGGCTTGGCGCTGAACCTGAAGGTATAAAAAGGATCAATAACTATTTTACATTGAGGTGGATAAAGATAATAAAAGGGACACTCGATGATGAGCATTTGAAGAAATTGTTAGATTCTCAGTTTGGAAATGTAATGCATATGGGCACACACCAGTTTTCTGTGATGTTCCTTCACTACATATTTTCTAGGCAGTTGATGACGGAGAAGAAGTATGAGATTGTGGCTTTTTGCTGAGAAGCTAATTAGATTTGCTGTTGATGATTTTGCTCTTGTGACGGGTCTTAACTGTAGTAAAACTGGATTCAAGAAGGAGGATGAGAAAGGGAGAGGAACATGAATTTAGTTTTCTGTTTTCATATATATATATATATATATATATATCGTCGCGTTCTATCAGCTTTAGGTTTCCATTGTAAAAGTATACTATTCCATTCAACAAAATTGAGGACATATATCTATTTCTTATTTATTAGCTTATGTTTCATTTACTCCTTGGGTTCCTTTTATACTATCCCCTTAGGGTTTAGTTTTCTTTTATCATTTTGCATTTCACTAAATCCTTGGAGT